ACCTCTTATATAGACTCAATTAAATTAATAAAAATTAAAAAGCTAGATAGATAGACATAGAGTGGTTTGGCTAATTATCTTTCATAATGGTCCGGTTACTTTTGATCTAGTGTGTGCGTGTGTGTATGTGTGCGTGTTAGCGTCTATACGTTCCTAAATCAGTTGTGTGCAAAGGTCAATGTCAGGCCTAATGATCCAAGAGAAGGCACTTACCAAGACTGCGTAAGTCCGTAAGTAAGTATGGTTGAGATGATGAGATATGAGCTTGTAAGCATGAAACTCAAGTTACGAAACCATTTGTTCTAACCTTTCAGTCAAGGGTCATTAACGGTTAACCACACAAGGAAAGGCAAGACTGAGGTTGTGTAATCTGACATGTCCGGTTTGGTTGATGAGCTTAATTTAACATGTTGGGCGAATGTGAGTGAAGTTGGAACCATCATCGAGCAAAAAAAATTAAGTCGCCTTCTTTTTGACGGCAGCTCTCTTTCTCTCTTTCAATCTATCAATCAAGAATGTGTAGTTCCTACTCTACTTTCTACCACCTTTCCTCACATTCGACGTATTTCCCAAGCTTCTAATTTCAATAGCCTCTCTTATCTTTCTTTTAACCACACACGTACCATAATCGGCAGAAATATTAGTTTGAGACCATTCTTTTTCATGTCCAGATTCTAAAATGTGTTCCAGCTACCTTTGCAAGCGTTTTTGTGTTCTACTAATCGTTGTCAAATAGGTCGGCATGTCTCACCAACATAACTTCGACCACAGGAGCAAACAATCTTGTAGCAGCCGAATCTTGATAATGAGTCATATTTCTGTCTAAAAGATGGCATAGCAAAAGAAAGTTTGAGGGTTTCTTCTGACACTGTTTTTATCCCCCCTTTTTTACTAATTGGCCTATCTTTTTTGAGAGAAGGCATGACGAAAAAATTAGGACATGGAAAAATGTCTCAGTCTGTCTATCCTTGACTAAATGGTGTCCGTCTGAAAATGTATTCCCCAGTAGAGAGATATTATTCTCAATTAGTACCAAATGATAATTATTTTCCAGGAATATATTTGTCAACCGTTGTAACTCTTCAGTCAAATGCTTGCTATCCGCTATCATCATACTTCTAAGAATCATTGACTACAAAATTCCAGTCTTAGTCTAGTAACTATGGTTGGAAAGAAAATTAAGCAAAGATCCAAAATATTTTGACTTCCTATAAGCATCTCTTCCTAACCTACCCTCTTCTCTAATGATGAGAACATCCAGAAAAGGTAAGGACTTGTTCTCTTTCATTTCCATCGTGAACCTAATGTTCCTTTCACGCTGGTTGCGTGAAAGTAGGAGACTATCTAACCTTTCCTTTCAATGAGGCCAGATGACAAAATAGTCATCTTTGTATCTAACCAACGATTTGGGGGTTAATATTGCCTCTTGCAGCAAGTGTTCCTCCAATCTCGCCATAAAATTGTTCGACAAGCTGGGAGACAGACAACATCCCATCACTAATCCTCGTGTTTGTTCGTATAACTTACCAGCAAATGTAAAATATGTGGTACTCATGGATAGGTTGATAAGTCTAATAGTGGAAGTTGTACTCAGCCTTATTCCTTGTGTTATCTCTGGATGTTGCCCCAGAGTTTGTATCAGGGCTTTAATAGCTCCTCGGACAGGAATGTTTGTGTACATAGACACAAAACCAAAACTTACTAACCTATCCTCTTCTGAAAGTGTCTCCTGATTTAGCAATTTCACAAAATTATACGAACTTTTAACTGAATATAGTTAATAATTGGTAGAGTTCCTCCGATGTATGCACTTTCATATGAAATGAAAGTTCCACAACAATCTTATATATAGTTTGGAGACCTAACTTACGCCCATAGGCCATAACTTGTTTAGAGAATTGCCATCAAATAGGCCGGAAGCCATAGTAACGAAATCCCTCACAAATAATGAATTTACTGATTGTGCCGGGTCCCGGTATTTATGCTCAGAATATTGAGAATAACTTAGAAATAATCTTTATTGCTGATCCGTTAAATAATAACTGAATAAAGAGGAATAGTTTAACTCATTTCTAGCAACATTAAGGACATATTTTTTAAAATTAGCAATAATATAAATTATAAAAAGATATAAAATCTCCAAAATCCACTTATAAACGAAAGATAAAAGATAATGTTCTTACATTTCCTCTTAAAACTTTTCTGACTCCATCTAAATAGGTGCTAGGATCCTTTCCATTCACCATCCAACGGATTTGCGGATTTGGATCTCCAGACGCCATGCAAGTAAACTCCACCGAACCATTCACGGGAACTGTGGTGTCTGTTGGACTTATTATAAATTCAGGTCGTCCTAAAAATTGTTCATGCTTTGGAAATTAATCAAAATTATCATCAAGAAATTGAAGGCCCAAATAATTATTAAATAGCAAAATTACACCCTGGTTCTTCATAAGTAGGGCCGTAAATTTTGTTGCCTATTTACATTTATATCACAAGTTTAAGTCTAAATTATTTATCATCCGTCCGCATTAACAAATTAGGCTCTATGAAGACTACTTAGTTCGGAAAGAGAATCGATACTAAAGTGTCTAGTGCGACCCGACCAAAAATTAGATGACAAATGCAAAGGAGTGCCACTTATGAAGCTTTGTCAATTATATCAACTTTCAGTTCCCAGAAGCTAGCGTAAAAGATTGTTGACCCACAGCAATATGCCACGTAAGGGGTCCTGTTCGAAGGCATCTTAAAAGAAGCTCCGCAAAGTTTTCTTTCTATTACCCGGAAATATGTACTCTCTATTATTTATTTATCATTTATTATCATCATATCCAATATAAATTCCTAATGCACTAGTGTACCAGATTAAATCAGATTATATTCAACGATTTCTTCCATGCTGTATAAAAATCTTTGGTAGACCAGTCTCATAACATACCCTTTGCCAAAATAGGTTGTAGGCCTTATTTGTGCTGTTTTATATCACGTGTTCTTCACAAAAATTCGGCCAATATTCGGAGCAGTCTATGTGCTCTGTTTGGTTGTCATTGAAATCTGCTACTATCCACTTTTCTACTTCTCGCTACTCTTATTAACTATATTAATTAGATACAATGATTTGTTAACAATGTCTCTTCTTAAATTGTTGCGGTTAAGTAAAGCTATTAGTCAAAAAACTCCTAAAGAATCATCTTTGTCTAAATATCTTAATAAATACCCCGTGCTCTATAATAACGGTCTAGTGAAGTAGAAGGAACACATGTTGTGGAGAATAATATCTGCTTAACCATAGGAACAGTAAGGCAATTTTACCAAAGGGGTTTAATTTTTGAGTTCAATTAACATATTCCAACCAGAAAAATACAAGTAGATAAACTATTTTATAACCCAGGATGTTAACGTCATGTGTAATTTAAATTAAAAAAGTTGAGATGCAACGAAAACTAGAGGCCTACTTTTTACGATCACTGTATAGTCTATATTT